CGAACCTGTGACTGACATGATCCATACGGCACCTTCCCGGGGCTGCTGTTTGTAGATGCCTTCAGTTCCAGTAACAAGTTGTCTCATTCTTCCTGACTTAATATGGTATTTTACCATCTTCTAGTTTTTAAAAATATTCATGGCAATAAACTTGTACTGTTCATAACTGAGCAAGCAGCATAAATATGCCCTCCAAAATTCCCTAATCTTCTAGCAGAAGGTAATGCTGGAAAAGGTGTGGACAGTTTGATGGGACCATCATCTCTAATTAGACACAGGGAGGGTTGATAGAAGTGGAACTTTGCCCCTCACAACCACCTGAGGCTTGTCCTGACAGCATGCATCATAAAATGATTGGTACAGGTTGGTAGATTTGAAGTTTCTAAAAGTGTGAATAAAGAAACCCTGAAGCTGTTAGAGTATATAACGCACATGCCCCAATCTGGGGAGTTTGATACATGGTTTACTTAAATTTTTGTCGTCCTACAACTCAGACTTTGTGTGGGACTGTGCCCTCAGAGAACAACTCAGTTTTTGCTTGTGGTCAGAATATAAAAGATGTGAATTACTTGCATCGGAGGTCAGCTGGAAAAAAGGTGCACATCTGTGGCCTGTTAGCTGAATCTGTAACTGCCAGGGTACAGATTGTTCTGAAGCAGTCCAGAGTTTGTGTGGAGGAGGAAGGTCTACCTTCCTCCTCCTCCATAGCCTGGTGTGCTGGGTTATGATAAAAACAGACACCAACCTTCCCATCTTTTTAGGCCTGTGGTGCTCTCTGCAGAGTGGTTTAAGTCTGGTTAGAGGCTTTTACTGCAGATAGATTTGCATTCCTAGAGCTCTTTGATCCCTTTGGACCCCCTTTTGTGCAGCTCTGGACTTGAGGTTGCAAATCATGAAGATGACAAAAAATTCCCATCACACTAAACCGCCTCTTCTGCAGGGATGACGAATTCCTGTTATCCTTTACTGCTCACTAGTTGTTGTTCTGAGTTCCTTAACACAGCTGCTGTGCAGGTTAAACTTTCTTGTTGAAGGCCTTGCCTGTAACCCTTGCTTTTTTGTTTACTCCTTGGAGACAAACTGGCTTGAGAATTTTTCTGAGCATTCCTTTCCATTTACTTTGTTCACCATGTTTGCTTTGGGTATCACTGGAATAATAGTTTAGCTTAATTTAAAAAGCATAGCACACAGACATGCTTCTTTTAAATTACTGGCCCTTTTCAATAATGGGGGATTGTGAAAACCTGATCGTCTTCAGAATTGAGTTCAAAGGCTGTTTAATCTAGAGGAGCCAACTCTGTCTAGGGAAGCTGCCTGCTCTTAGCAAGCAAGGGAGGATGCAGTGCTTTGTTAGAGGGATGTTGTTGCTCTTAAGAGCTTTGTGTAGGAAACTGGTGTCTCAGAATAGACACAGTATTTTTAATTTTTTTTTTAATCAGAGAATTATGTCATTAATACAGCTGGATTTATCTCTTGAGACAATTACTCTTGCCAGAACAAGAACCTGAATAATTCCTAACTTTGTGTGTTTTCTAAAAGCCCAAATGTAGAATCTTCATCTGGAGGCAGATCTAAATTCCTTTGCTGCTTCTGTTCTTTGTTTCAAAGTCACAAACTAAACCAAACTGTACCTCAGGACATGTTTAAAAGCTGTCTATGCATGACTTTGTGACATCAGAGGGTCTATTTAGCCAGCTACTGGAATAAATCACACACTTTGCCAGCTGCCAAACAGCCCTTCAGCAAGAAGAAGGGACAGGGTGAAACCCTGCATCTTTTATTAGACAAAAAGTGCCTGTTTCCAGAGCCTGACACAAATTTCGTAGCAACATAAATGAATTGCAACTAGAAGGCCATGACACAATTGAGATAAAGATTGTGGCAGAGGAATTAGAATTAAATGCTAAAAACACTGAGAACGATAGTAAATGCTGATGGGAGCAGAAGACTGGCAAGATAATGTGAGGGGTAGTGAAGAAATGTGCTAAATACAGACAAAAAAGCAGCACTAATGGAAGCATATGTGAACATATGTGAACTGAGGAAGAGCTTTCTCCTTGGCCTGTCAGCAGTCTGGTGACTTGACCTTTGGAGCTCTCACACCACAGTGGAGAGAGTAGAAACAAGCTTGACATCTCCCATGCAATTTGCCCAGCAAGAGAAGTCTTTGAGGAAAATTGCTGATGTTTTCCATGTTCAAACTGGAGAGCGAAAGGGACTTGGCTGATCTGTCTGCTGCAGCCTGGCTAGATCAGGAGAATGAGTGAGGAGGAGAGAACCCTGAGCAGGTTCACTGAAGGTGTAACATTGCTACCACCCACTCAGCAGCACCCTTTTGTATCTGAAGGTTGAGTAATACTATATCCATTTCACTTGTGGGAGATGGCCTGCCTGAGATAACAGATCAGTCTGAGTGAATAAAACATATTTACTTCTTTTCTTGCTTCTCTGATGATGAAATTTCCTGAGGCAAAGATCAAAAAGCCTTGGAACAAAGAGCCAACTTCCTTAAATTTCTGTTGTGTGAGGCGATAATGGTACAGAGAACATGTTGGATGCAAGCATATTGCTTTGAATATCCGGCAGCTGTGGTGCACGAGGACCACGGGGTCTCGGGTTTATTTTCATAGCGTGGATCTCTGCTTTGTTCACGGTGGTAACTGCTGAACTTCCCCCTGCCAGCTACGGCAATGGCCTAAGTACTGTTTTTTCAGAAGAGCAGTATTTGATACAATTTTAGTGTCTTGATACAATTTTAGCTCCTTGCTTCACTTTTAGTGATTAAAGTGAGGAATAGTTCCAGCACCGTGTTAAATCCCAGTGTTCCATGGCTCAGTGGAGGTGTTCAATGGGCCACATATGGCAATAGTTGTTGGCATCTTATTACTAGGCCGTGTCCTGAAACAGCATGGTGTTTGTGGGATAGTGCAGAACATGAGCTCTGAAGTGTAATATTACAAAAAAACATCCTTCCTTTTATGGTGGACTCAAAATCCAAGGGAAAGTCTTTTTTCAGAGGAACATCCAGCTGCAAAACATCAGTGGCTAAAGATGCTAACACCATTGGACTCTGTTCTGTGCTTGTCACTGTAGTGTAACTTTTCAGTCCATTAATTTCTGCCTTGATCTTATTCTGGCAAACTCCTTTTAGCCCACAGAAGCAGAATGTTTAATAACTTCTCTCTCAGAAAGCAGCCAAACAAGAACAAATGCTGCAGAACAAGTCTCTTACCCTCATTTCCCAAAACATGCAGGTCTAGACCTGTGGAAAGAGTGCCTTGTTACATAACCTAGCTGCAGCAGAAGCTGCAAACCTCTCAAAAAGGAGACCAAAAGTGAAGTAACCCACATTCCCTGCAGCTCAGTCTGGGGGGGAGATCATACTTGCACAGCCAGACTATAAAGCAATATAATCCAGTTGCTTGACTCAACGGGGAAGTTGCTCAGAGAGGGTTCAAGCCAGCAGTGTGCTGAGATAAGCAGCTCCTTTCATCACTGGAGTGGATACAGGCTGTCAGCACCCCCCACCCCATTGGGCTTTTTAGGTATTCCATGGATTAATGTTTCTCAGTTCCAGGTCATGGACCTCAGTTCTATTAAAATAGCTTTTATATCTGTGCAACTTCAGTGGTGCTTGTATTTCTTTAACTTGAATTCCAAGGAATACTAGGTTTTTTTCTTCCTGTTAAAAGTGCAAGTTTCTTACAGCTGTGTTCTAGTTAAATACAAAACTCCAGCTCAACTGAGGCTTTGCTTGGACTGTAATTGTGGGGACACATGGACACTTTCTTGTGTCCTATAGTTGTCTTGTGCAACAAACACAGGAAAGGGATTTCATAATGCTGGGAATGTAAGGATGCCTCCTGAAAGTTTTGTCCTAACTGGAGTAGTGAACTCTCATTGTTTAAGTAGGGGTTAGAAGTGCTGGCCATGCTGCCAGAAAGAGGGCTGATCAGCCCTCTGTTTTACAACATGCTGTTCATTTCTGAGATTTTGCCAGTAACAAATTTATCAAATCCAGATGCCTTGTGCTGGAGACCCAGCTTTCTCCATATGGGAGCCTTGTACTGGCCTTAAAGCTAATCCTATAGAAATCAAGGGGATTTGGGACACTCCACTAAATATGTTTTGCTACAGGCTGTTGCTTGTGCAGGCTGTCTGTGGCTTGTACCTTAATTGCATGTTTGGGTTTCTTTTTAACTCCCTCTCACCCACACAGGCACTTAGGGGAAAAGGCTAAACAGAGACTGGAGGAGGCGAAGGCTCTTTTTCCCAAGGTGCAGGTATTTGTTGTTCTGCCTTATGTCCTGCACATGGTGCATGATGGGCCTAAGCCACAAGAAGCCTAGAGATGGGCCCTGCATTTACACCACTAGAAAATGTAAATCCCCTTTGGGGAGTGGTGGGAAGGAGAGACCTTTCTTTAACTGAAAAGCTGTTCAGCATAAGCCATATTCTAATTCTGCATCTAAACAAGAAGCTAAACTAATCACTGAGCAGAACTAATCTCCCAAGTCAGCCATTTCATGGGGCTTGCCCTGCACTCAAAGCAAGGCAGTGTAGCTGAGGGGAGGCTTCTGTTGTGCTGCAAATACGACCACATCACACATCCGGATCCCCATTCCTTGGACACTCAAGGGCTGGGAATCACCTTAGCCTTTGCCATAACTCACTTGGGTTACAGCAGGGACACGTCCAAACTCCACAGACTGTTTACACATGGCAAAGCACATGAGAGTCAGTCTGAGATGTATCCTGCCACCTTTACCTGCCTGCTCGTGAGCACGGCTCCTGAGGAGCTGAGCTCAGTGGGGCCCAGAGAACAGCTGGACTCACCTGCAGCTCAAGGAGACGCCTGCTGGGCAGGAACAGCTGAGCTCACTTGGAAAACCAAAAATGTTGGCACAGAAGCACAGGATAAGCCGAGACACTTCATAGGAATACAGGTTGTTTAGAATTTTTAAATTTTTTAAAAAACTTTATTCCAAACAGCTGATTAACCTGTCAAGGGTTTAAATCAGATTATTCAATGCTGTCACAAGTTTCTAACTAGGAAATACACCCATCAGAGCCTACCTGTGGGAAGTAACTGCGTTGTGTGCTCCTGAGAGGGTATCCAGGGTGCGCAGTGGAAAACCCCCCACTGCATCAATGCACTAGGATATAGGTTCATAGAGACCAGTCACAAACTGAAGATACAGGGTTATACAACATATTTGGCCAATTCTAAACAAACAAAATATTTAAGAATTCCAAGATTTTTATGCTGGTTTTAATTTTTTTAAATTAATTTTTATTTCAATATATTTAAGTAGGGAGTTTATGGAGACAGATAAAATTCATTCCAACACTCAATTTGTATCAATAGTTGAATTATGCTTGGACAAATTAATTCTGCTTTAGCAGAGTATTAAATATTTTGTAACAGTTCTATGTTTTATGGCAGCCTGCATTTACCTATTTGTGTCTGATCGAGAGGGAATTCCGCATTTGACAGTCTGCAAGTGGAGACCACACAAACTAAATATTAATTCGGATCCTTTTGTAGATATATGTGCTGCTCTGTGGACTGAGTAGCCCAAAAAGTGCACTAAACCTCTCTCAGTGGTAAGGAAAGGAACCTTTCAATTAGCCATCTGCACACAGACATACCTCTCATTAAACTTACACGTGTGAATCATGATTCAGGCACTCAAAAAAGTTTCCACAAAGCCCAATGCCATACACTCCTTGAAGAACAGAGCAAATATTTGAGGAACTGAGATTGTTACATTTCTGTGTTAACAGCACAGCTTGTCTAGTTTCAATCAACATTTTCTTTAAATAAGGCCCTGATCATCTCAGCTGTGATGTGCCCATCTGATTTACCAACACTGCCATCCTCTCTGTCGCTCCTGCTTGGCATTTCTTCTTGTTCCTTATGATGAGTAGGCACGGCTCTTCCAACTACATACAGTTTTCTCTTCAGAGGACCCAGTTTTAAGTATGCCTTAAGAAGAAAGAATATTATTCTTTATTAGATAGAAAAGGAGCCCTTTAAAAAAAAAAAAAAAAAAACGAGACCCAGCAACTTTCCTTTTTAAAGCAACTGTAGAGATGCTGCCCTAGGGCTGCTGTTTGGTAATGCCAGTGATAATGGGCTTCTTTTACAAGCCAGCTCATCTTAGAGGCTGCAGCCCTGCTGCACTCTTCTTCTCCTGTGTGTTTTCACTGATAACACCACCTCTGTAAACCAAATTCTGCTCTCAAGGTCAGTTCTGTGAGAAGAATTAAACTAATCCAAGAGCTCATTCCTGCCAAAAACAGGTCCAAGTCCAGCCATGTGCTTCTGCCACGTTTGCACTGGCTCTGTCTTCTCCAAACCTCTGAGTCAATTTGCTTGACTAACTCAACAGAAAACTAATTTGGGGGGAGAGGGGGAAAGGGAAGGTTTTTCTGCTGGGACAGAGAGTGAATCAGCTACAGAAAAGGCCGATGTGCAGTATGAGTTCCCTGAGGGCAGGAGCTGTACCATACTGCCAAACCAGAGAGAAGAAAGAAGAAACCCTCCAGTGCAAGCTCTTGAAGCACCTCTGTTTAATCAGTACTTCCATAACGGTTGCCAGTGTAACACTGCTGTTTGCAGTTGCACCTTCATTGTTAAGAGGTAGCAGCACCTATGTCAGCAGCACCAATGGCCCTCAGTGGGGTGGGCTCTGTAGTGCTACCAGCAGGAAGAAAGGAGGAGAGCATCCTCTCCCCAGGCAATGACTGCAAAGAAACTAACACCTAGACTGATGTCTTTTGTTAAAGCTTTTCTTTGTAATGCCTCTTCAGGACAGAGCCACCCCTTAAGTTAGTCTCTGATCAAGGCAACAGGATGATTTCTCTGAACACAAGTTGCAGGGTATAAATAAAACTAAAGTGAAATTTCTAGAAAAAGAGTTTTTGAGGGTTTTTTGTTTGTTTTGCTTTTGTGGGTTGTGAGTAAGTTAATAGAATATTCAGGACTAAAGAAACATTGTGGGAAAGTATCTTTACACAGTCCTGCAGTTTGCACCATGTCTATAAAATCTTCTTTAATTTGGAGTAGAAATCAATGATGTAGAGTAATGTATTTTCTAAGAGTAATTAGTTTATTTAGAAATGTATTCAAGTTTTTCTAACTCAAGAGTATCAAAGGCACCCAGGAAGCATTTTTTGCAACCTTGTTTGAGAATCTTCAGAAGTAGGTACCCCCTCTCTGAGAACCACACAAACTCTGGCTATTTACATATAACCTGTACCTTTTTATTTTCTCAACCCCTGTAGTTTGCACCCAGGAACACCTTCATCCCAGCTTTCTGCTGAAGGAATGTCGATCCTTTAATGCTATTATGCCACACAGATTCTAAAGGACCAGTATCCAAGCAAGAGCCTGGCAATACCATAGAAAATTGTCACTAGTTGGCATTCAGAAATTCTTTCTAGGGGGAATTTCATCCTGACACTCTATGTGTTGATTCCTAGGACACTATTCAGTTGCCAAAACAATGTCTCCTGATACCAGAAATGCCTTAAGGCATCCAAAACATCCAAGGGAGGCTGGCCTGTATGACAGAGAACCTTGCTCTTTTGGCCCAGCATCTGAAGGACATGGAGTGACCTTCCTGTCCCAAATAGAGCCAGAGGCTTATGATTAAGAGTCTGAATTGCACACTAGGTAAAAGACACTGGATGCCATAACACCACTGGGAATAGAATGGTCCTGACAGTAGTTCATGCTCCATTCTGAAAAATGTTTGTGTCAGTGAAAGACCTGATGACTTTAACTCATACCTGGAGATCATCTTCATCTTCGTACAGCAAGTGATCCAAGGCTGTAGTGAAGAATTTTTTTCGCAGCTCTTCACTGTCTTGAGTCTCATCCTCTGTTTTAGACTGAACCTTTGGAAAGGCTTTTTTTCTCTGACAGGGAACTGTGGCACTTCTGAGGCTCTCTCCTCCATCTGCCTTTGCTTTTTAAAGAGAAGAAAAATGATGTGTATGTAATTGTTAAGCCTTATGGAAGTCAGAATCGGTACTTGGTATGAGGATTGCCTGCAGTCTTTAATATGGCTTGGCCCATGTGATGCAAAGAACAGCTTGGTAGGATTTTTAATTGGCAATTCAAGCTAAATGTTAGTTTTCCTCACTGTTTTTTTTTAATGTGTTTTTTGTTCACAATTTCTGATCAAGACCAGGAACTGAAATTGACTGGAAGTGAGAACTAATGGGTCTGTGGGATGAGGCAGGAGAAAAAAATCAATTCAACTTAAGTCCTGCAGAGCCCTGAATAGTTAAAAAGAATAAGAAAGGCAGCAAAAACAAGTATAAACTTTTTCTATATCCATATATCTATAGGTATACAGATACAAGTTCCTGAAACACAGCTAGCCTACTTATAACTCCCCTGAAGAGCTCACATTTGCAGTTGACTCATTCTCAGGATGACAGACAATGCTGAACATGGACTGCCAAGTTACAGGTTTGCCTGGGATCTGATCCCAGCTTATTGGAACAAAACCTAGTACTCCCAGTAACTCTTGCAAAGGTCTAGCAAAGGTATTCAAAGTAAATATATATCTAATTCAGAAGTTTTAGTTAACATGTTTGCTGGTGCCTGATGGTTTCAAAAGGCCTACCTATGGCTCGGACTGATCAGAACTTCAACAGACTTCTTCATGTATCCATAACTGTATGACTTCAATTTTTTTAACTTATCTCTTTAATTTTGTACTTTTTCCATCCTCTTTCTTGTACTAACACAAAGATGTAAAATAAAATGTGATACTAAGGAATCCACAGAAACCATCCTAAACAAATAAGCACATTCACTTGCTCCTTCTTGCCTAATGGTATATCCTTTTCCTGGGCACACCTACCAGAATAGATGGAGATTCAGCCCAAAATTCAGTACTGCTTAATAAGATTTTCACTTTGGGCTGAGCTTCATCTGCTCTTCCTAGGCAGTTACTTATAATTTACCTCCAGTGTATGAGCTGAATGACCGTAAAGTGCACATACACTTGAAGTGAAAGCCAGCACAGAGTTTAAAGAACATTGTTTAAAGGACAAGACATAATGAAGTTATGATGATATGGATCAGTAAAGAACTGAGTAGGATATGAACCATATCTTCATAAAAGATGGCCAATCCTGTTAACTGCATTCCAGGCTAGCTCTAGAGGAGTAATTATATTCCACAATGTAGACACCAATTTCAATTTAAAAACTGTATAACAGGTAGATCGTGATTTTGTCTTAATGCAAACTACAGTCTGTCATTGCTGTGGTGGCTGCCATCAAGTGGGAAATTAAGTGTTCACCATGTCAAACAGGCAGTTTGATAAAAACCTTAAGAAATAAAAAGTCTGTAAATGTTCAGTAACTTATCAGTTCTTATAAGCTGCTGGCATGCACATTACCTGCATATTCTCTATATTCCACTTCCATTTCATCCTTAGGAAATCCTTCTTGCAAGCCAGCTGCCTCAGTAAGAAACAAATGCCTATGGAATAAAAAAGATAAAGTGAAACTTATATTAGTGGTCTGAAATCCCTCTCTAAACTGTGTAATGTTTTGGGGTGAGAGGGAGGACACCCTTTCTGAAAGCCATTTGTTGCTTAACCACAAATGCAGAACAGCACAATGGTTTAAAAATGCAATGGAGGCAGCCAGGTAGCTTAGTGGCTAATAAGCTGCTCTTTCTTATTTTTAGTGTCTAAGTTCAACTATGTCCATGAGACTAAAAGAAAACAAATGTTATAGTCTCCAGTCAGTCCAAGATTCAAACCACAGCTGGCAGCTCTCACTTAGAAGCAATCCAAAGTTTGGAAAGGAGAAACAAATGGTCACTTCTTAAGGCTTGGAACTTTTTATGCAATATGGCTAAAATCACTGAGCTGAGGCTGGAAAGTGAAGATGGATCATTCCCATTGTTGCATTATGCTTTTGATACCGTTAGTGTTGATATTTTGTAGCTAAATTAATCTTTCTCTGGGGAACAAGTTAAATAATTTCAGTACAAAAGAATCTAATCCTACAGATACCTCTACAGACAGACATATCCCAAGGTCTCTTCCTTACTCAGTGCCAGGTAATCTGTTTCACTTGAGGTTGCAAAGCCTGCTGTATTTGCATATTAATCTTCACATTTTTCCAACAGTAAAGGAAATATTATTCAGAACTTGGTCTGAAAAGCTGGGGCTGAGACCATCTAATTACAACATAAAGAAACTATTTCCAAGCCCCAGTGGTATCCCCACTAAGAGGAAGTTAGTAGCACTAGGTCTTCATAGACTATTAAAGAACCAAGTTTCTTCCCTGAATTTTGGTATTTAGGAGGTCACAATGTTACTGTCGTCCTTCAAGGATACAAGTCCCACACAGAGTGAAATCCTCTTTCCCCTCAACTCGGAAACTACCTTGGCTTTGATGTAGGAGAGCCCAAACAGCTTTAGAGGCAGATAGTATCATTGTCTTTAAAAAAAAAATTAATCACTTTTGAGTCTGTAAAGGCATCATTTTACCTGGATCCTATCTGGTTCTGAAGTTTGGTATCAATCAGTTTTGCCACTAAACTGGTATTTTCTTCTTCCAGGAGCTGAACAGAGGCTTTCAAATCACTTACTTCCTTTCGGTAGATCTTAACCTTTTGACAGTTAGAAAAAAAATAAAGAGAAAATCTTAGAATTTTGGAAAGCTTTCGTAGCAACTACCTTGACAGCACATACCTAGAAAGATTGCAGCTGTATCAGCAAGACTGCACATTTGGTGGGGAAACATAGTGACACATTTTCAGATAAAGGGAAGATCTCTCTGGTTCTTTCACACTTTTATTAGAACCCTTTTACTATCACAGCTCTGTCAATCACAGCCATATATTTGGGCTATGCAATCCTGACAGCACAACCTTCTCATGTAGTCAAGCAGGTCTGCTAGACAGCAACTCTGAATTTTTTGTTTTTGCTTTCACATCAGAGCTTTGAGAGAGAAAAACCTTCTTTGCAGAGTTAAATTCAAGGTCTTGCTCAGCAAGCATTGTTTTTCTAACTCCTGCTTATACACAAAACCTTCTTACCCAGAATTAGCAATGACGCAAGTTACCACAATATGGGCTAAGGCCCAGGTACTACTTTCTTTCACTGGTAATCACCCCATATCACCATGAAGTTAGACTAACTAAAGGGTGCCAGTTATTCAGTTTCCACAATTCCTCCCACTTTTCCTGAAATACAAGCAAGTTTTTACCTACTTCACTGGAGAGGGGAATGTATGGGAGAGACACCTTCCCAGAAAACTTAGCCATAGGCCCATGTTTAAGAGCAGTACCCAGTGACCTGAGAGCACCTGTTCTCAGCAGAGTCAAATTAACCCAGCTATAATCATCCAAATTTGCAGTTAAAACTAGTTCAAATTTATCCCAGGGATTAAAAAGGTGAAAATGACAGGACATTAACCAGTAACAGGATGTGGCTTGGCACAATGAGGTGATGCGGTTTTGCACCATCTTGGTGTGACACAGTAACCATGGAAAAATGTGGGTGAAGTCTCCAAATCTGTTCAAATTAGGAGATAACTAGTTTAGGGCTGTTTTGGTAAATCATTTTTCAGTTCAGTGGCCAAACTGGGAAAAAAAAATTGAAGTAAGACTAAACTGAAATTTTTGGTTTATCTCCCCAAAAGAAACTACTGGAAGAGTCTCTCAGCTACATATAAACATTAGCCTGAGAGAAAATATTTCATCCGTGTAAGAAAAGCAGAGAAAATGAATGGGTGAATTCAGAGAGCTGGAAAAGTTAGTGATAATTGTTTTGTTTTCCCCAAAATTCAAAGCACTAATTCATAACATAGGAAAGTAATTCATAACATAGGAAACTTCTAGCTGAGAGGAAAGAAACCCAAATCCCTCAGCTCTGAGGTGAGGGCCTGTAAGAACATAAGAGTACTCCAAAGTGGATCTGTCTTGTTGACACTGTCTAATGTGTGTAAAAGTCATAAGTGTTCAGTGAGACGGGGAGATGGGAAGATAATTCATACTCATTCAGTGATAGGATGTATAGATTTGAGATCCTATTTGTTTATGCAGAATAAAACACTAATTCTTTCCTATTGACCCCTACCCTCACTGCTTCATAAGCTGTGGTTTGGACACCTGCCCTGGAAAGTTAAAGATGCATGCTCAGAGCTCATTAAGGGAAAGAAGGAAAGCTGTATCCCTGCATACTGGCATGTATCTTAAACTAGTAAGTAAAATGCAGAAACCTCTGCCAGGTTTGTTGATGTGGCATGGAAAAATAAGAAGTTCATTTATTAACTTCCCAAAAAGTTTTGCTCAGTTCTAAACTGTGAGACTGTAAAGGTGGGGAAGGGCATTTCACCCACCAATCTCATGCTTAGATTTGATCGCAACGAAGAACCTGTATTGACTGGAGCAAACACAATCAAACTCTCACTGTGGAAAAATTAGTTTTCTAAATCTGGCTCACAAAAAAGTCTTTTCTTGAGAAGAAAAGTTACAGGTATCTAATATATAGCTGTAAATTGCCATTAAAGGACAGTATAAAAGCTATCAAGTAATCAATTACAACTATATATGATTTTGATTTTCCTCTCTTCAGTATATAGCCCCCATAGTTTCTTTATTACCTTCCATTTAAAGTTGTCTCAAGCCATTTCTCAAAACACATTTCCAACATCCATATCCATTTTCTTTCAATACAGCAACACTAGAACTTTAATGCAATTCAAAACTTCACTTTTCAGATACCTATGTGGTTGAGCCTTTACACTAAATAGCATCCCAGTCTTCACAGATGTAAATACTTATTTATATGGAACATGATAGTCCTTCACCTAACTGCTTAGGCAGGAAAAGGGGTCTTTCATTTGTGAAAGCAGGTGTTCACCTTTTACTTTTGTTCATCACATTACACTGTTTGCTGCTCAGGATTACAGATTAATTACTGGAAAACTGCTCTCTTTTTCCTATGGAATTCTTCAGAGGCCCATCACTGGAAACAGTTATGGCTGTAGGCCATGGCATTTAAAACATGAACTACCATGATAAACTATAGGCAAATGATCCTCTTACCTCTTCTTTTAGCCATTCATTCTCTTGAATTTCTCTGCGACAGTTTTTGTCTAAGTATCCCACAGCACTCTGAGAAAACACAATTTAAGATCATCTCATCTGAGAGCGGAACTTTGACAGTCCTATAAAGAAGAACCTTCTGCTCTTTAGCAGGAAATAATTAAGAAACATCCACACAACAGACTGTAGCATCCCCTGAGGGATTACAAGGGGATTTAGTTCACAAGGCCAGATGTTTCTTCTCCATCATCCTGCCTAGAGCAGATTATATGTCAAGCAGTTTACCAATATTTTATAATTTCCCATATTAAAATAGGAGATTTCTCATTTTTTTGCCCAACAAGTTCTTCCATGTTCCCATTATAGTTCAGATCTTCTTATTTTCAGAAAATCAAACCTTTAGCTACTAAAAACCCCAAGCAAAATCCCAAATGCAGCAGTACTGATCTATGACAAGTGACCTAAACATGTAGAGGTCTGTGCTAGTGAGCCCAAGCTACAATTTAATTATTGATGTCAGTAAGTGGAAAGGAACAACTGGGAGGGAAGATGCTCCTGTAGATCACACAGTCCTTTGGATTATGTTCTCACATGACTGGAAATTCCAGCACTGAAGTCAGGGAATTTAAACACATAATGGGCCTAGTGATTCACACTGAAGTATGCTTTGCATTTTGTGAAAGTGAGATGTTGTCACCAGAGCTATTTGTAAATCATGGTTTCAAATCGGAGCTGGCAGAGATGACCAAAAAAATTAATGTATCAGTAAACCTAAATTTTCCTGAGACTGCACTATTTTGGCATTTTAAAAATGTTGTACTTTACAAATACAACACCTTTTTTTCAAATTGATGTATATTTTCATGCAGCAAATCCCTTTGCATGTTACTGGTTTTTGAAGTCTATGCAAATGTCAAAATCATTCACAGCAAAAGCAACACATTCTTGAACAAGTCATGTCAGTGCATAGTGCCCCAGTTCCTCATATCTCATTTGTAAAATGCCCTCACATCTACTCATTATTAGTCTGATGTAAAAAAAAGGTACATTATGTATAACAATGACCAATTCCACATGTAGTAAGATTTACAGTTTATGTTACTCTCAATTTATTAGAAAAGTTTCAAGTCTTAATGTGAGTTAAAATAGTTATTAAGGCAGAGTACATGTATCCTAACTATGATGCAGTTAGCAGTTTTAAAAAAGGCAGAAGGAATACCTTAAGAGCCTGCTCACTAAGTAACTTCAAGTGCCTGTCAAACAGACTCTTATGTTCTTCTTTCACTGCATTCAAAGCATCTCTATAATATTCTTCAAAACAATAAAAAAGGAAATCAGAAATCATTATTTGACATCAATTTCTCCTAGCAACAAATAGATAATTGGCATGTTGTTACTGAACTGGAACTTATCAGCAAGCATCATATGCATAGATGCTCCACAGGAAAGGATTCAAACATCCTTCCCCATAGAAATTATCCTCCTAGACCCAAAGAACAGTAGTGCTAACTATAAAACTAGAAATCAGAAGTGGTTTGCACATTTCTGCTGACAACTGCAACAGCTGAGCAACTCACTGCTAACTGAGCAGTGAGCTGAGCAATCCTCTGCTAAAATATTGGCATCTTAACATTAAATTTTGCCTTTATCAATAGCAGTTCCTAGCGTGGTGTGAAACATTTGCTTAGAAAACTTATTTTTTAGGTATAGAAATGTGTTGGATCATCTTATCCACATAGCATTTTTCCAGACATTTATTATGAAGAGCCTAACAAATTTTCTTACTTATCTAAGGCTCTAAGGTTCTAATTTGACAACAGGACAAAACGGACAATGTGGCAAATGCCTCAATGATTTGCTTTTATTTTATCATTACATGCAGTCATTATTTAGAAAGTGTATCTTACATCAAAGTCAATTTGTTTGGCTTCACATTCTAGTCACTTGCTTTTTAATTATTTCATCCTTCCCTTTATCCCTATAGTTCTTTTTTTGTTCTTCTAAATAGCCCACTTCTGCTTGATATTTCCCCCTTTTGAAGGAAAGAATGAGAGTGTAGTCATTTTCTTTGAAGGAGGGCACTTCCTACTTGTTGCAGAGGCTTGAAGTTCAGCCTTGCTCTGTACTTGTGTTGCAGACAGCCTGTTGCTGATCTGGCTGTAAATGAACATCTGGTCATGGACCCACTGTGGAGTCAAAGGCAGTCAAACATCGAAGGTGCATTAGTTCATTAGTTGTGCATTAGTTCTTAATTTAACACCGTGGAAGCTGGAATCCACCACCTAGACTTGGCAAAATGAAATAGAAGTACTTCCATACTATAATTAATTCACTATTTCATTCTTTCAGACAGCTAGCCTGAGTTGTACTGGGAGAATGAAGAAAAGGCAAAACGGTATGTCTGAACAGTTCCTAAGGAGGCTATTTTCCCCAACTCTCTCACTGCAACACTGTTTCCCCCACACCTCAGCTATGCCTGTGGCTGTCTTTCGCTTCCTCTCCTCTTCAGCTGTTTTGTTTATAATGTCACCGCCAGACAACATGAATTGTGCCAGTGTCAAGCCCCTCAGTGGTACATACAGAGACAGAAATCTGTTCACCTAAGCTTATTGCCCAAGCCTGTCACACATATGAGGTGTGAAAAAGCCCAATTTGTTGCTGCATTGCTCTGAAAGCTTGTTGCATTTCTGCTGGAAGGCTGTACTCTCCAGGCACTCTCCAGGTTCAGTTTTAGGAAGTTAAGTAAAATACTGTGCCAACATCCAGTACTGGCAGCATCATTTTGCAATATGTTAAGTAGGCAACTGCAGTTTGTACCTCTGTATCAGTCTCTCAATAAATACACTTCTGTTTGACCACACATTTTTGACTCTGTACCCTGTGACATGAAGGAGGCCAGAGTAAATGTTCCTGGCTCATTCTGGCATTCTATATGAAAGCCCATTCTCTTTTTCTTACTTCAGCATCTATATAGCAAAGTTTTAAACTGATTAAGAACACAGAAAATGCATAAGGAAAAACTCAGTCTCTCCTGAATAGAGAGATGGATGTCTGACAAGCTATCTCGTGATGTAGAAGTCACGGGGCAGATCTTAGTCATGGCAAAATATGTTTCAAGAGACAAAAAGATAGCTAGCTGGCTCTTATCCACAGTAGTTGATGCCTGGTAATGGTTGGCACAGAATATACAGAGACCCTTAGAGCAGTGTCACTGCCTGTTACTACCAGCTGCTTGGCTGTGGTCATGCATACTGAGAGGGACATAAAGGAAGAAAACCAGGACATCCCTATCCCACTGGAAGCATGGGTTATGTAAAAGCAAAATATTTGCATGATTTAAAAATAATGCAGTAGTAAAGAAATCTTTGTAAAAATCACTCAGCACCAGAATATATAAGCTTTCAAATTCATTCCACTGTTGTGATGCTACTGAAACAGTTCCCAGTATCTGTATGTGTCTGCACTGGCTATTTTGCAGGGCTTCACACAGGAGACTAAGCAACTAGGAGGCAAAGTTCAGACCAGTGGCTAAAGAGCTCCCTCTAGTTCTGCTTGTAAACCAGTGTGCTCCATAGAAAAGACTGTTCCAAGAATGAGCTCATGCTACTTTCCTGTCAAAAAAGCTTTCAATATGTGAAGTGTTTGTAACATGATGAGAGGCAACAGCAGTAGAGTCAACATTTTCAAGTATGACTGCTAAGGGAGCCCTGTGTGTAGGTGACCTAAATATATGTAGACTTATTTTTAGGAAACTGCTGTCCTTCACAGTAACATTTTTAAAAAACGGGTTGCCTGTATTTTACAAGAAAATCATCAGAAGTCAAGCTTATCAGTTTCTTTAAGTGTCATCATTTCTGTAAACTTTATCAATTTCTTTAATAAAGGAACTTTTATAGAGAGAGAGAGAAAAGGGGTGTCCCTACATTTTCCAGGATTACACAGCCCACCTTATGTGCACTGTTTTAAGAAAGTTGATACAAGTTACTAGAACATGACCTCAAATTTAATTTATAATTTAATTCCTGCAAGCAATTTGCAAAAAGCCTCTAAGACTTTCATTACACTAGCTGTAAACTGACCTGTAGTTCTTTGAAGATCATCTTTAACTTTCTTAATGTCTTTCTCCAGACTGCTAATCTTGTCAGCGTGTATTTTACTTCCTACATTTTTGTACTCCAACCAATAATCTCTCTCACGCTGCTTTACTGAAATTCTTTGCTGAATTTCTTCAATTTGGGAGCGCAGTTCTATTAAAATAAGAATGTCAAAAGTCAAGTTCATTACTGATTTCTTGAACTGATAATTCTTATAGTTTAATCAAACTCTTTAAGAAAGGCACTTTCACAGGAGTTGGAGAAGGAAAGGGGATTCTTCCACACTACAGTACATTACAATGTGATGGGCTCACACAGTGTGAAGGGCCACCATCATTGCTGAAAACAGCATGATCTTATTCTTCCAAGGAGAGACAACAGTTCTCACTGAAATATTGTAACCAAAGACACATGTGTCTCCCACAGAGAATCACAGGGATGATAGCCAGAATTTTGAACAGATTTACTTATAAGCCCTCCACAATCTCATATCAAATTGAGATAGCCCAATTTTTGGGGAGGAAAACTTATGCTTTTTATGCAACAAGGAAGTTGAAACTCTAAATGCAAAACAACAACAACAACAAAGATCCCCACCGTGTAAATTGCAAACCACACTTCCCCAACTTACAACATACCTTTAAAAAGTTGTTCTTTGTCCTTCACATACTGAAAAATTGCTTCCAGTGACTCTTCCACATCATCCCTAGTTACAACCTCCTTTTCATCTCGTTCTTTCTCCTTTTCTTCTATTTGTTTTATTAGGCGCCTGATAAGTGCTTGCTGTTCTTCCTTCAGAACATCATTCTAAGAAAGAAAAACAGAAGACACAGCACATTTTCAAAGTAGACACATAAAACAGTTTCAAAGTGGCTTTCAAAGTAACTTAAGTAACAAAAGTAAAATCTGGCCTAATGCCAGGTGAAATGCAAGAACACCCAACTAAACACCTGTTCTTCATATTCAAAAGAATAGAGCAGAAGGGAGAGTTTTGAGGTCTCAGAAGTTTCCTCAGTAACTTCAAGACCATTGGAAGGAAATGAGAGACAAATGATTGCTGTATTCCATGCAGTACATCAACGGTTCTCCATTGCCTGGAAAGAAAGTTGCTTGTGAGTAATTTAATAACAATATTTATACATTGGAGCTATTCAACATTCTTCATGAGAATGTACCGCCTTCATGCAGAAAACTCATGAGACAATCAGGTCACTTGCATACAACCACAGCAAAGAGTCTTGTCAGAGCTGAAATTGGTTATACCTCCTGATTCCACAGCTGTGATCATAACCCTTTGCCATGACCCTCTCAGGTGATACAGAGATTATGGATCGTGTATATTTGCTCCCAAAGGATACCATACGGGAGCAAATAGTAACAGTAACTATGCAGTAGAGAGAGTCTCAAGCATTCCTCACTTCTAGAAGGATTAACTCTAAACCACTCAGAAACATTAAGCAGGAAACAAAGGATGGAGCTCAAAGGGCTGTAAAAACATAGGTAAATTAAACAAATAGCACTTCAACCATGCCCTTAAGTACCCTGCACAGTCTAAAATCTGAAGGAGTCCTCCAGAGACCGTGAACTAGCAGTAAATTGGGGAAGTAATCATAAGAGACTTCAGGTGCCTGCAGAAAGAAGAGCAAATGCCACTTGCAATGATAGTTAAGACACAAATGAAACACCATCCAGGCTTCAAGACTGAAAGAAGCACCACGGAATGCTAAACATATGGATACTTATAAAAGCAGGGCAACCATTGGGCATGGGAAGGACAGAGAGACATTGTTTCAATGTTTCACTGCTATACCAACTGCAGGCTGCAACATGATCCAGGGTAAGGATTTTTGAGTAATTTGACTTAATTTCAGTAGGTGACCCTCTATACATCTGCTTTCAAAGTTCACTGCTCACAGTCATCAGATGTCATATTATGGGTGTTCACATACAGCTCATACACACAGTTCTTTAAAGTGTCACTCAGGTGCAATCAGTAGTTATACAACCTTGTTCTAAAAAAATACCCAAAATAACTCTTAATCCACGAGAGTCTTCATCAAACAGTGCTAAAAATTACAACTAGTCAGTTGCTTGATGCTCTTTCTTTGTTCAGTTTTTATGGTAACTAAGTTTGCAAGAATAAGTAGATTCTCACAGAAACCTGTGCATTACCTCAGAAGTGAATCAAAAGAGGTCAGCAAAGCTCAATAGTTGGTTAGGTCTGCTAGTGCTACTGACAAAAATGAAGTTAAACCATTTATTCTTTGTGCATTGAAATATTGAGGAATATTTGCAGGACTGGTCAAAAGGCATATCTGAATGTACTGCAGGGAAGGTAGCTACTGAAAGGAGGCTTGCTGTCCTATGTTTGCTACAGAGGAAGATGCATGTCCAAAGAAGGGCAATAAAGTTGGTAAAAGGATGTCTGAGGGAGCTGAGGATGTTTAGCCTGGAGAAAAGGAGGCTAGTGTGGGACCTTATCTCTCTCTACAAATACCAGAAAGGAGGTTGTAGCCAGTGGGAGTCAGTCCCTTCTCCCAGGTAACAAGTGACAGGACAAGAGGAAATGGCCTCAGATTGTGCCAGGGAGGTTTAGATTGGATATTAGGAAAAATTTCTTCACTGAAAGGGTGATCAGGCATTGGAACAGGCTGACCAGGGAAGTGGTGGAATCACCAGTCCTGGAAGTGTTCAAAAGACATGTGGATGTAGCACTTGTGGACATGTTTTAGTGATGAACATGGCAGTGGTGAGATAACAGTTGGACTAAATGACCTTAGAGGTCTTTCCCATCACTAACAATTCTGTGATTCCATGAAATATGTAGGTAGTTATTGAACACCACTGAACTCACTTTACTGCTGTGTCCTATTGTGCAATGATTTGCTCCTGCAGTTCATTTTTTACACGTTACATTTAGGATATTTATGCTCTATGTCACATTTAATTCAGGTAACACTTTAACTTTTAGCACATAAAGTGACTCACTAATTCTACTTTCATTGACTGTAACAAATTCACTCCAATAACTAGTTTTATTGTATGTAGTATTAGGATTGAAAGAATAAAACTGAGTCTGTGAGTTAAAATATCACATATAAAGTGTGTTGGGAGAAGGATGCTTAGTCACTTACTCTTTTATGATACTCTTTGATCTTGTTTTCCAATTCTTCCAGATGAACCAAAACCCGATCAATTGTTGCTTCTTTTGTCTCAATTCTGGGGAGAGAGAATAAAGAAAGAGATATTCTTACAAAACCACGAGAGAAAGGAATGCTATTTAAGCTAGATTAGATGTAAATATTATCAAAATGTTTATTGTCATATCATATGGCTTGACTCATTTGGGTAGATATCACTGTCTGCTTACTACACATAAAGAAATTATTTCCCATATACATCTGGACCTTCGTGTTAGTTTGGATTTCATGCTCTACAGAGATACCTGGTTATACTGTTCCCTTGTAGCCTCTAAAGAGGCTTGAACTGGTTTACTCTTTGTGCATGTGGCTTAGCTGACCAATTACACGGGTCTCTTTTTGGATAAGATTATTTGTGCTCCAGAAATATTACTCATCACTAGCTATAGAGGAAGCCTGGGCAACTCACTCAGACATAGGTCAGATGAATCCCAAACTGGAGAAGTAAAAGGGATTCAATTCTTCTGAAAATGTGGTTTGTCAAGCTTCATAAACTGTATTTGTACATCAAGAATTTGTTAGCCTTTAAGAAGCACTAAGGAAATAGGGACTCCAGCCTGAGTAGTATGCTCTGTTTATACATTTTTGTCAAAGAACTAGCTTCCTGCCTTCACATTTTCATAGGCATTCTCTTTACCACAGCTGTAAAATAAGCCTTTTTTTCTGGTGGTCTCTCTTCTAGAATGAGAAACACCAAGCTGCAAACGATGTCTATTTGCAAAATTCTCTGTAATCTTTCCCTCTGTTCCCAGAATTCATTCACCATGTGGCACAATAGAGGCAAGTATTACAATTATCACAATATCTTTTACTCTTTCAACAGTTATTGTTCCTTCAGTTTTTCGTTTTGGTATTTATTGGTTTTTTGGTTGTTTTTTTTGTTTGTTTGGTTGGTTGGTTGGTTTTTTTAATCTTTATTTTTCCCCTCCCTATTGTATTAAGTTGTTTTAAAAGATCCTCTTTTTTTTTTTTTTTTTTCCCCTGGCTAACTTGCTAAGTTTGGGTCACTGATCATGCAAACTGCAGGTTACTAAATTTCCATCCTCTGGTGTCAGTGTGCTCCAAAGTATTTTTCAGGTTTTCTACTAAGTACAAGGATATTAGTTAGAGAGAGCAGAGATATGGGGGGTATGGTGGTCATGACTACAGCAAAAGTATGTCACAGACATGACAGTTTGGCCACATAGTGTGATTGTCTAAATTACCTGCCATTTTAAGCCATTTCAAACCATTTCTGTATTTTGGATATTGCTGATCTTATTTTCTCCTGTTTTAAGATTTTCCATTAATATGTCCATCACCTTGCTAATGTCAAAATGTATATGAGTACAATTTGCCATTTTGTCTGCTGCATATTGGAACTTTCTCCTTTAGATTATTTTTCTATGGTATAAGTCAGATTAAAGCCACAAAACAGCTGGATTGATGATTCCTTTGACACTATTTTTCTCAACTCTGTATACTAGGTCTCATCTAGGTGATTTAATCATCTAGAAACAACACTCCCTCCCAGTACTACAACAGTTTTATCAGTCATCTATAGGATGTTACTAAGGCAAGTTATTAATAAGATTGTTGTTCCTAACAATTATGCTGAAACAGAGAACTGTAATGAAAATGGAAAATAACAAACTCCCTGTGAACAGTGACCATCCTTCAATGTATAGAAGAAAAAACAGGAATGGAAGTTAAATATACACTAAGTACTTGATAAATCCTAAAGTGGAATGTGACAGATATGCACTTGTATGATTATGCTGCTTTGCTCAGTTAAGTAGTACAGAGAAGTTATAGATTACAGAGGTGAAAAGAAGGAAAGAGAGGAGAGAGAGAAAGACAAAAATAGCAAGAAGAATACTTTTCTTCCCTATTGTTGTTGTAGAAACTACATACTCCTTGTTAGTACAGCACCCATTTCAGTGGAAAACTCTTCAGACAAATGAGTCTTTTGCTTGGATATTTGAATATGCATAAGAATAATTTTATCATAACGTGGTGCAGTTTTTTCTCAGCCTAATAATACAGTTTGCTTATTCCTTAGTGAAATAGATGGGTTGGTTTGTTGACTTTTTGGGTGGTACGTTTGTGATATCAAAGCTAAATCTGGGATATTTCATTATGGAAAATTGTACTCTGTTCCATGTAAACTGAAACTGGAAACACCACAGAAACTGTGAACTCCTGTAGATGTCACTACAACTACTCTTCAGTTCACTTACTCCACTTTTCATTTCCACACCAAGGCACTACTCCTTGCTCCCTAAACACTGGTAATTGTTGAATGTTGGATGTTGCTGAGGCTTTTCTATTTCAATTTCTGTCTCTGATAAAAGTCATGGAGCTTACTTTTTCTCTTTTAATCATCTACTCAAGAGATTGGAGATCAAATAAATTGGACTATTTAGTAACTGCTTCAGATATTTCCCACTTGGGTCTTATTTTTCTCTGCTTGATTTTAAAAGACCTTTAAGTTACCCCTCTCTTACTTTCAAAATAAAACACTGTGCTCTGCTCTCAGCTGCACCAAGGAAGAGAGCAAACCACAGGTCTTGAAGTTCTGGCTGGTCACAACAAATCTCCACGAACACCAAGGAATTCTAAAAAATACAGCCAAATGTGATCCTGCAACTTCAGTGTACGCTGATCAAAAGCTTGCTACTAACAGAAAAAATGATGGGTTTTTTTTTTGTTTTTAATAAAATATTTTTTCCCAAGTTACAGTCTAATGGCATAAAATTATTTCTGGCACATCTAAATGCTTCCTTACATCTATAGTTTAAAAAGTGTACCTTTCTCAAATAGCCTTAAAACCCCCCAAAAAATCAGCTCAGGCCCTAAATTGAATAAGACGTCTTTGTTATCTGCTTCCTTCATTCACATATCCTATATGAGCGAAAAGTTAAAATTTATTAAACCTACTGAAGTTCTAGTATGGCTTCTGGTATATCTGATTCGGGTTCTGTAACTTGCTTTCCTGGCTTCTCCTCTTTCTTGTTCTCTTCCATTTTTTCGGTTGTACTTGTGCTAGAAGTGAAGGGGGAAAAAAGACACAGGTGAATGTATAGGATGTCATATATTCATTGGCCTTTGTCACTTGTGGCAAGTTTCTAACAGTTCTGAAATAAAAAAAACTAGTTGGGTTTTTGACAACAATAATCCTGCCCAGGATAGCGCTCAGGCCCATGTTTTTGGGGCAACCTGAAGTATCATTCTGAGTAGATTCAGTGTTCTCTATCACCAGTTACTCATTGCATCCCTTGCTGTGGGCTGTGTTTTACATTCTTGCAAATCAAATCAGCAATTGTTCTTTTTCCAGTCCTTTGTTTCTTTATCTTTGTTCTATCAAGTCTACTTGTTAATATGCATCTCTTTCCCTTTCCTTCTGTTCTCCTAGCACTATGAATATTTCCCTTTCACTGCAACTCCGATACCAGTTTTTATTGTCAGAGCTGGAACAAAACCACTTTCTGAAGGGACATGCATGTCAGCAGTATTCCCTGGGCATGTTATCACAACTACCCACCTCAGAATTCAACTGTCAGTGAATAATTCTGTAATGGAACTAGTATCGTATATTATTTAAAATAATCCGGCGAATTGCTTACCTCAGTCACGCTGTGACACTCTGCAGTCACACTGTATCCGCTTCCCAATCTCCAAAGTACACTAACAACTCCGTTCCTAGCCGACCCTTCCCTTGTACGTATCCCCCACAAACCCCTTCACCACCAGATAGAGCAGTGGACAAAGCCGGGCTACCCCTCACCGAGGCCCGCAGCCCCAGACCCCACCGGCACCGTCTCCCTGTGCCGGAGCCTCCCCTCCCGCCCCCGCCCGCCCCGTCACGCCGTGCCCAAGCCCTCCCGCACCGCCCGCCGCCCCCGAGCACCCACCGCCAGAGTTCCTGTCAGCCCGGAGCAACCCCTGTCGCCATCGCAACCGGGCCCGGCCCGGCCCCCTGCGCGTTCCGGGGGCCGGCGGCGCCCTCTGCCCCAGGAAACGGGAAATACAAAATGTCAGCGACGGCCCAGGGATGGTCGGAGTCCTGACAGGGGTTTCTGTGAGGCGAAGGTCGTGGGACGGCCCGCGTTTCGCTCAAGTGGGTACCTGCGGTGCCAGGCTGAAATCCTGAGGTAAAATTGCAGCTCTCTTCACGAGGGCGTGTCCCAGCCCCGCAGTGACACAGTCCCACACCGAATGTGAGCTGGGTCACCCATGCTTGCAGAGGGACAAGCTCCCTAAGTGTCCGAGGCGCTGAGGAGGAGCCTTGGATGGTTCCTGCACCAGCCGTGCACTGCTCCCTGTAGCCCCTTCGCCCCATGCACCTGTGCAAAAAGCCATGCCCCAGAGGTGGGGACAGGGCACAAGAGGATGGAAAGGAAGGCTGGAGTCTGATCCTGAATTACTTCTGCTTCTCTCATCCTGACCAGCAGACCACCATCGACTTTGGATTGGCTCTGTACGTTGCCCTCCTTCATAGGACACCAGTGCCTGAATCACGTAACCCTGGGAGCCATACTCGACCACAGAAATAGATTGTGAATCACTAAAGAGCCTTTGTCCTCATTCTCGGGCAACATAGAATCATAGAAAGGATTGTGTTGGAAGGGAACTTAAAGATCATGTAGTTCCAAGTCCCCTAGGGCATCTAGTTCCAAGTTCCTAGATCATCTAGTTCCAAGTCCCGCTAGTTTTCATTGCTCAGGGCCCCATCCATCCTGGCCTTGGACACTTCCAGGGATGGGGCATCCACAGGTTCTTTGGGCTCTCCTCTTTTAGTTTAAAACCATTCACCCTTTTCCTATAACTATCTGCCCGTTTAAAAAGTCACTCCTCCTCTTTTTTACAAGTCCCTTTTGAGGACTGGAAGGCTGCAATTAAATCTCTCCATAGCTCCATAGGTCTCTCTTTTCTCCATGCTCAACATTCACATTTACTAACTTTGTTCAGAGTTTTTGGCTGTCCCTTGGGAACCTGTGTTCTCCTGTGACAAGTTCTGTTTGACACAGTACAGCAATCTCTGTAATTTAGGCATATTCATTAAAGTAAGGACAAAACACTTTAAGTCCCACACACAGATATCATAATATGCAATGTATCTATGTTGAAGACAGTAGGACAATGCTGTTTAGTTTCATCCAGTGCCCCACATAACTGTTCAAATCAGAAAGCCAAGAAAAGAAAGAAAGAAAGAAACAAAACCCCAAATCGTAAAAAAAATACTGCCCTTTAATTTCCTTCTCCTGTATTATGGACTGACTGATGCTATTGGGATACAGTAGCCAACTGACACATCAGCCAGACTTTGAATACAAGGCAGATAAAAAGAAAGAAGAGAGTCTTAAGTCAGCTGGCAAAGACAAAGTTGTGAACTTCGTACCCTATACCACGAGATCTTTAAATCACACTATATTTAAATCACACTATATTTAAATCACACTATATTTAAATCACACTATGCCAAAAGGTAACAGTGCTTAAGCCTGACTATGGGCAACCTTTGCATTTTTCTATTTGCATGGGCAGACAATACTTACATCTTTTAGAAAGACTAAAAATACTTTGAGAATTTTGAGTCCTTATTTTGCAGGTTAGCAATGCTGCCAGGATCAGGTAGTGCTTTCAGCTATTTTTGACCCTCTGTTAATAAGCTTGAATATGGAATCATAGAATCATAGAATATCCTGAGTTGGAAGGGACCCACAAGGATCATCAAGTCCAGGTCCTGATTCTGCGCGGGACAACACCAAGAATTGCACCATCTGCTCTATAGTCTTCCTGGAGCCTGCTCTGTAGTTCCCTAGATCCTTCTTCTTGCCCTTGAAAATGGGTGTCCCATTTGCTCTTTAGTGGTCATCAGGGACCAACATATATGATGTATGCAATATATATAGCATTTATATATATATAAAGGGGTTACCTAAAGGGAACCAGGAAGAGAAGATGGAGAAGAGCCTTGGGCCACTTCTGGGAGTTTCAACTCTGCTTTTCATGTTGCCTAACCTTCAGTGGAGGACAAGTCTTACAATAAAACTGACTCTAGAGCTGGTTTCTATTCTCATCCCATCCCTAATGCTGAGTTTCCTGCTGAACTGTCCCACTAACTTTACAGCTGGAGGAAAAGTTCTCATGTTTCTTTAAACTTCTTTTTTTCTCTTTGTGTTTCTTTTTAACTTTGGAAATCTGATAAGAGAGGGTAAAGCCACATGAGACTGGAAATTTCCATGCACAATGCCAGAGCCATTTTTTGTATATCACTATTACATGGAATTTGTTTTGGCTCCGTATTCCGATCAAGGTCAAAATGGCAAATTCACATTTGTAAGGACACATGCAGATACAGAACAATTGTCAGAGACTAGAACATATTGAAAGGACCAGAAAGCACCTAGTATAAAGAGTTTAATGACAAAGAACTATATAATTAAACATGAGACATTATTTCTCATCAAGTGCAAAGCAGACACTACCTTGATCTGTCCTTGAGGAAAACTGCAGTTATTCCTAGAATCCTTCTCACCTCCTAGAAATCAATAAAGAGCAAATTAGGGTTTCATGTGTCTTCCTCAGCTGGGCATTTGAGAGCAATCTCTAGCAGTGCAGCATAGGAGAGTAAATTTAAAGATGCCCTGGTCAGTGGCATCAGGACTTAAATTAGTTTTGGCTGGGAGCAAAAGAGATGATCAAGCCCTAGTCATGCACATTTGAACTTTAGAGCTATTTCTTTCATGGTCATTATTATCAAACCAATCTCTTTCTTACCACAGAGAGATTTATATACACCTAAATTACCCACACCGTTCCCTTCCACAGTTTACACCTTCAGTATACATTTTCTTCTAATGTTTTAAAATAAATTTTAAATTATTTAAAAAATATTTTTGAAGACTAAATTTTTAAATATGTAAAGAAATGCCTTCAGCAGGTGCAGAGCATGGGAAGATAAGCAAACTTAGCAGCTCTCTTTACATGTTACTGGCTCATTTTATGCCCTTACCTCTCTGTTTTAGTTTGTTTGTTTCCCTCCAAACTTTCATCCCTCTTTTTTCCACACCTTTGGCTCGTCCCCTGAATATCCCATGGTAGGTCTTGTGCAACCTTAAAATCCTCTTCCCTTGCATTCCACATCGTGCCTTACCCCAGCAATGATCCCCCTAGTCTGTAAGGTACTGGGATTCCCTGGGAAGGGGTGTGCCTCTGATGGAATTACAGGGGCTCCCCGTCCTGCCTCTGCACTCCTTCATGTGTTCAGAGGTGGACCTTGACGTGCTGAGAGCTCCTGTGGTGGATTTGGGAGCAGCCAGGCAGGGTATTTGTCAGGCTCCTTCACATACCATTGTTTCTCTGTCTTCCTTTGTGCACGTGGAGAACTTTTTACCCCATTACCTCACAGAGCAGAAGATTTTAAAGGAAAAAAAAAAAGGAAAAAAAGACCTTGGGGCCCAGGAGCCAAATGAAGGATGAAAAGCAAGAGGTGATGTGGTCAAAGCCACCAGCTAGGGAAATATCACTACAGCAATTAAATCAGCAACATCTGAGTTAGCTGTGATTAGTGTTAGTTCATCAGAGAGTGGCTGAGTGTCAGAGTAGATTGAGATTTTGTCTGCAGGAAGCGGGAGGAAGTGAAGCAGTATTAAGTGGATTTGCTTCACTGAAAATTACTGTCTCTTCATCTATTTATTACCTGCCATTTTTTAACCACACTGAAACATTTGTTAATTTTTCTGTTATTGGGAGAAAATGGGATTACTTCCTTTTTATTTCGGATAATGGCTAGACAGATAAACATGCTGAACGAGGGGGTGAAGGAAGGAAGGTGGTCCACTTTCTGAATCTGATAGCAATACCTCTACACAAAGATACCTGCAGGGCTTTTTTTTGTTGTTGTTTTTGGTTTTGTTTTGGTTTTTTTTTCCTGAAGATGTCATAACACTTTGTGTTGCATGCAATCAAAAACATGCTTGTATTTTTTGATTGTGGTGAGAACTTAACAACTCTGTGACTGTGTATGGGGAAGAGGAGGGTGGGTAGGATACATCCTTCCATCACTAGTTTTTGTTCTCTTGCTGCCACACTGAGAGTGTTCAGGCTCAATTCACATGAAAAACAGTCCTTCTGTGGTTACATGAAATGCACAGATTCTACAAATCTACTACACCTCTGTAGAGCAACTGTGTGGACCAGTTGTATACTGGTTGAAGATCCTTTCCATCTGAAGTTACTGAGGATTGAATCTGAGGGTCCTTCAAGTATTCAGTATTCTGAGGGTCATTCAGGTATTTTCATCATCTTCGTTACTGCAAACACTCAAGGTATCAGCTGGGACAGCCCTTAAATACAGAATCCCATCGATTTAATCTGAATCCATTTCAAGAACAAATCACTAGAGTAAATGTGAGTAGGAGAGAGCACATATGTATTTTAACAAACACAGTACACACCCCGTACGCAGTTTCTCAGCAGTCACCTGCTACAATGCTGGAGACAGCTGCCACCTGCAGCTTCCTTGCAGCAAGGAAGCTTTTCCCTAAGCTTGGGTCCTAAGTCCTTGTTTAAAGGGGCAATTGTTTGGGGCAGTTGGGTACACCAGACTCATCAGTTCCAGCTCTATCCAGCAGGGGCCAAGCGTATCCACAGCTGCCAGCTGATACAGTGTGTCTGGTCCTAAAATGCTGTTTTACCCTGACCTTCCTTCTTGTTCTTTGGGACTGCTGTGAGAGGGGAAAAAGAGATATTTTACACAAGAGAAAAATATGCTCCATGTACTAAGGATGTCAAAAGGG